AAAGTGAAAATAAAAGTTTGTACGTGTCACGCTTTGCAATTAATCTTTACTAGGCTCACTGCCCACAAACTTCCAGCTCGCTTGTAAAGATTCATTTACAAAGCTTGACACGTAAATAACTATTGTTAGCTTGTTATTTCATAGAGAATAGGTAGCCACAAAATTTTAATTTATGAATTTTATTTTAAAAAATGGCTTAATAGAAGCAGCTGCGATTTAAAGAGTTGGTGTTTTGTGTGTGTGGGACCCCACCAAATAATAACAAACAATCAATTTTTTAGGATATTATGAAAAATCTATACCCTATTTAAGGACGGTGTGTTTTGTTGCATGCTGCATTAGTTAGTTGAATTAGTATGAATTTTTTCTTGTGTCGTAAAAATCAAAAAGTAGGTATCATTATTTAAGCACTTTTAAACGATATGGACTGTAAAAAAATTGATGGTAGTCAAGTAAAAAAAGACAACCTCAAGCAACAGAAAAAAAAAAGATAATTTTTTTATTTGTTTCAAATTTTAACCTTCAATATTATTTAAATAGATGGTTTTACGAAAAAATATAAAGGGAATTTTTTGTGGAGCTACAAAAATATGTATTGCGTATTGGTGCATGTGTATTTACTACCGAGTGAAAAAAAGCCATTTTAACAAAAAAATATATATAAATATTTTATTTCAAATTTTGACCTCCAATATCATTTAAAAAACCGTAAAAGGCATTTTTGTGTTGCGTAAATTTTCCTAAAAATTAGTTATGTACACTCCCCGGCACAAAATTCCGCCACCCTAAAATTTTGGCCAAGTTTGATGTTTTATAACTTTTTTATTTTTTATCCGATTTTCATGATTTTTCTACCAGTTTGTAGATACATTTATTGTTATTATTTTTTTAATATTTTAATAACTAATAATTTTTGTTTAGGCGATATTATACAGGGGTAAATCAAAATGTTGTTTTTTGTCATAATTTTAAAACACCCTGGGGGAAAATTGAGGCCGTTAATTTTTTTACAAACTGTTTAATGTAATCTTAGATGTATTCCAAACATTTTGTTTTTTGATTCATTCCATTATTTCATTTCTTGTACGAGCTGCAAGTTTTTCAATGAAACGCTTAAAATTTTACTGTATTCGTCCAGATATCGGTTAAAAATAATCAACGAGGGCGATTGTTTTGATAGAGTGACACTCTAAGAGTGTTTGACAGTTACATTATTAATTTAAGTTGTCATCATGGTATAACTATAGTTGTATACAGTAGACTTGGGTCGAATTGTTGCATTAATAGAGGATAGGAAGTTATGTCGCTCGTAATCTGGGAACTCCGCGGTCTATAGACCGTGTATAGACTGTATACAGTTCGAGATGCTTGGAATAGGTATATACCTATTCCAAGCATCTCGAACTGTAGATATACATGTATGTCTGCAGACGGGAAACTTTTCTAGGCGGCAAGGCTCTGGAAGAAGGAGATTAACTACTGCAGCTTCGTCGTTAGTTAGTTCTTTAAGGGATCGACGATCTACTGCTGTATCTCTAAAAAAAATTGCAAATGGTACGTCAAGTAAATGTAAGTGAAAGAACATGTTCTGCAGTACGTAGAAGATGGGCAAAAGCAGGGCTTCATTCACGGAGGCCAGCAATATGTCCACAATTACTTCCTCGGCATCGACAACAGCGACTGAGATTTGCAAGAACCCATTCTGACTGGACTGTAGAACAGTGGGGAAACGTACTATTCACAAATGAATCCAGGGTTTGTTTAAGGTCGCCGGATGGTCGTAAGCGGGTATACCCGCTATATATAGACGCAAAAATAAAAGATATGCACCATATCAGAGCGAATATCATATCATAGCGGTTCAGTCATGGTTTGGGCGGGTATTTCTAGCTAAGCACGTACCGATCTTATATTTGTTGATAATGGAACTCTAACCGCCCACCGTTACATTGAGGATATTCTTTAAGTAGTTTTCGTTCCATTTGTTCCCTTCATTGGGAACAAATTTATATTAATGAATGATAATGCTAGACCTCGCGTTGTACGGGTATTGCGAGAATATCTGGATGAGGTTGGACTTCCCACAATCCAAACAACAAGGTATGTTCGATCTCGTACTAAAAATACTAAAAATCACTGCAACACTGCACATCATTCAATGGCGGCCATTTTTGTTGTTTACAATTCTTTTGCTTTGGGTTTGTACAGATTAATAATCGTTTTAAACGTTATGTTTCTTACAGAGAGGCTTGCAAGCCTTAAAAGAGACCTCAAGTGGTAAGAACAATCATTTTACTCCTCTTTTGTAAAAAATAAACCTTATTCTATCAGGGCTGTCAAATTTCAATTTGAAGGTTAATTTGTGGGTTATAAAATAACCTTAAATTAACATTCAAATTGACATTTGACAGCACTGATAGAATAAGGTTTATTTTTTACAAAAGAGGAGTAAAATGATTGTTCTTACCACTTTGAGGTCTCTTTTAAGGCTTGCAAATCTCTCTGTAAGAAACACAACGTTTAAAACGATTATTAATCTGTACAAACCCAAAGCAAAAGAATTGTAAACAACAAAAATGGCCGCCATTGAATGATGTGCAGTGTTGCAGTGATGTTTAGTATTTTTAGTACGAGATCGAACAGACCTTGTTGTGTGGATTGTGGGACTTCCAAGATTGGAATAACCCGCATGTAGCCCGGATCTGAACCCTATTGAACATTTGTGAGATAAACTTAAAAGGGCTGTTCGACGTCGCCCATTACAACCACAAACTTTGCAAGAGTTACGGCTGGCGCTGAGAGAAGAATATCTGGGTATTTTTCAAGAAAAATAAGCAACCTTATTCATTCAATGCCAAGAAGATTGCAAGCTGTCATTACTGTGAGAGGTGGAAATACGCCCTATTAAAATGTATTTGTTATTTAATTTTATTATTAAGTGTTTATTTTTTTCAATAACAAATAACGTTCAAATCGGCGTTTCATTTAAAAACTTTCAGCTCGTACAATAAATGAAATAATGGGATTAATCAAAAAACAAAATGTTTGGAATACATCTAGGATTACATCAAACAGTTTGTAAAAAAAATTAACCGTCTCAATTTTCCCACAGGGTGTTATAAAGTTATGACAAAAAACAACATTTTTATTTACCCCTGTAATATATGGCCCAAACAAAAATGTTAAGTTATTAAAATGATAAAAAACAATTACAATAAATTGATCTTAAAACTAGTAAAAAAATCATGAAGATCGGTTGAAAAATAAAAAGTTATAAAACATGAAACTTTGTCAAAATTTTGGGGTGCCGAAATTTTGTGCCGGGGAGTGTATATTGTTGCATCTCTATTTATTAGGGAATTCTGATTTTTTTCCTAAGTCATTAAATTTATAAAGGTATAATCGTTAATCGAGATATGATTTTTTTTCCAAAATTTTTTAGACTAAACCTAAAAGTTAGATGATTTTTTTATTTATTTCAAATTTTAATCTGCGATACCATTTAAATGGAAAAAAACGTAAAGGGCATTTTTTGTAAAGCGTGTAATTTACTACAAAAATATATCTTGCCTATTGTTGAATGTATATGTATTAGCGAGTTATAAATTTTTCTTGTGTCGTTAAAATCAAAAACTATCATTTAAGCATGTAAACAAATAATTTAGATTAAACCCAAGTAAAAATAGACAAAATTCAGAAAAAATTAAAGAAAACTCGTTTGTTTAATTCAAATTTTGACCTCCTATATCATTAAAATGGTTGGTTAAATGGTTTTACAAAAGAAATTTAATTAGCCTTTTTCGTAGAGCCTAAATTTTTTTTCAAAAATATATTATGTGTATTGACGCATCTGTATTTATAACCGAATTATTAATTTTGCCAAATGAAAAAAAAATAGTTTTTAAATTTTTCATTAAAATGATAAAGTATAATCATTTAGGAAGTGTTAAACGACATCGGATTTTTTTTTAATTGTTTTTAGACTGTTAACACATAATTAAGATAATACCCAAGTAAAAAAACTTGGAAAATAAAGGACAACCAAAAAGTGTAAAAACACCAAGTTAAAAAAAAGGTACTTAGGCAGACACAGTTTTTTTTTCAAAATTGTTTATACTGTAAAGTAAAAAATTAACTGCGAAAAATTCAGAGAAAAAAAGGTATTTTTTTATTTATTTCAAACTGGTTTTACGAAAAAACGTAACCTTTTTTGTAAAGCATAATATTTAATAGCCTTGCCTGTAGTACTTAAGTTTGTCTTTGAATATGATATCATTTTTAAAATTTAAACATATATGTTTTAATTTTAAAAATTGGACAAGTTTTATTTTATTTTTATTAAAAACCCATTTTCGGAAATTTACTGGGATGCGTAATTACTTGATGACGTTCCCAAGTATTTTTTGTTTAATTAAAAATCATTTAAAACAATTAATGTTATAAACCGGGTAGGTAAGTTTCCCAAAATCCTTAATAGCATTACTTAATTGATTAACAAATATTATAAATATAAAAATTTAAAAAAAAATTACTCCAGGTTTAGTGATTTTCCAAAAGGGGTGAGCAAATATTTAATATTATTTTAGAATAGAATTTTAAAATTAGGTTTAACCAAAAACAATTTTTTATATATAATATGTTTAATGTTGATAAGTTAAAAAGAATCTTATGGTAAAACAATTACAAAATTCGTGCATTTGACACATGTTAATAAAAATGTTAATAGATTAATTTAAACAAAAATATTGATTAGGGATTGTATTTATTTTTAGCGCTTTGACGATTTCACATTGTTTTACACGGAAAACGTCAGAAGATTAGCATAGAATGACCTGACTTATTAATTTTTGTACGCATAATTAAAAATAAATTTCTATATAAAGTTAAAATCGTATGTGACAATCGGTAGTTAATGTTAAGTAGTAGTTTAAGTAAGTACACATACAATAGTCCGACAATTATTACCTTTTTTAATAGTGTTTTTTTATTTATATTAGATTATGTCTACACTAACTTCAGAACCCCAAACAGGGGCAGCTTTAGCTACCAGTTCAAGTAGTTTCTATTACCTTTTGATACCAGCTTTAGCTTTATGGTATGTCTACTGGAATGTATCCAGAAAACGTTTCTACCAACTTGCTGAGAAGATCCCTGGACCTAAAGGCTACCCATTAATTGGAAACGCACTTGAATTAGTTGGAAAAGCCCCTGGTAAGATTATTACAACAACAAACTAAATTTTACTAACAAAATTTTTCTTAAAGCTATTTTTAAAAGTGTCTACAAAAAATCCTTTGAATACGGGGATGTAATCAAGCTATGGGTTGGACCAAAACTGTTGGTCTTCCTTATGGACCCCAGCGATGCCGAAATCATACTTAACAGTCACGTCCACATCGACAAATCTCCAGAATACCGTTTCTTCAAACCTTGGTTGGGCAACGGTCTTTTGATCTCCACTGGCGAAAAATGGAGGGCGCACAGAAAACTCATTGCCCCAACTTTCCATTTGAACGTACTCAAATCTTTCATTGATCTATTCAATGCTAACAGCAGGGACACCGTACAGAAATTAAAGAAAGAACTTGGAAAGGAATTCGATTGCCACGACTACATGTCCGAAGCTACCGTAGAAATTTTATTGGGTAAGTGGAAAATATATTCAAGTTTGATTTTAATATAGTTTGATTTCATTTAAATTGGTTAATTTATACTCTATTTATTCAACTTCCTTACTAGCTTATAATTATTTATTTTATTATTATTTAAACAAATTTGTTTTTCTGCTGTAATCCCAGTTTTATATTTTATATAATATTTTTATTTCATTAATTTTAACTTAAGTTATATAATTATAATACCCAAAAGTCCACATGAACATAAAGGACTATAATATTATTTAACATTTGCTTTTCAACAAAATAATTTCCAAAAATATTTTTTTTATCTATTTGACCCACAACTGATAAGTATAAACCAAAATTTAAAGAAATGCCGATTTATATTATATTTATATTTAGAAACTGCTATGGGTGTAAGCAAAAAGACCCAGGACCAAAGTGGATTTGACTACGCCATGGCTGTGATGAAGATGTGCGATATCATTCATTTGCGCCACACCAAATTCTGGCTTAGACCCGATATGATTTTCAATTTTACCAAATACGGAAATGTACAAGAAAAACTTATAAACACCATCCACAGTCTGACCAGAAAGGTTATCAAGAGGAAGAAGGCTGATTTCATGCAAGGAATCAGAGGATCCACAGCTGAAGTACCTGAAGAATTAAAATCAAAGAACCAAGAGAAACAAGATGCTAAGAACAAGACGGTTGTTGAAGGTTTATCTTACGGACAATCTGCTGGACTTAAGGACGATTTGGATGTTGATGATAACGATATTGGAGAGAAGAAAAGGATGGCTTTCTTGGACTTGATGATCGAAGCCTCCCAAAACGGAGTAGTGATCAATGACGAAGAAATCAAGGAACAAGTCGATACCATTATGTTCGAAGGTCACGATACCACCGCTGCCGGTAGCAGTTTCTTCCTCTCCATGATGGGTATCCATCCACACATCCAACAGAAGGTCGTGCAAGAATTGCACGAAATCTTTGGTGATTCCGACAGACCAGCAACCTTCGCCGACACCTTGGAAATGAAATATTTGGAAAGATGTTTGATGGAGACTTTGAGAATGTACCCACCAGTACCCATTATTGCCAGACAAATCAACCAGGACATTAAATTGGGTATAATTAATTTTAAATGTATTAAATATAAAAATAAATTATTTTTTCTTAGCTTCCTCCAACCTGACCGTACCCGCTGGTGCTACTGTGGTAATCGGTACCTTCAAGATCCACCGTCAAGAAAAGATCTACCCCAACCCCGAAAAATTCGACCCTGACAACTTCTTACCAGAAAAATCCGCAAACAGGCATTACTATGCATTTATTCCATTCAGCGCAGGGCCAAGGAGTTGCGTAGGTAAGTAAAATACATGATCTTTTTTAGGTCAAACATATCAATATTCATAGATCATTGTTCGCAAAATGTTTACGTATTTTTTTGCATTCGTTTAGGTCGCAAATACGCCATGCTTAAATTGAAAATCCTTCTGTCCACCATTCTGAGAAACTACGTTGTAAAGTCCGACTTAAAGGAAAAGGACTTCCAACTGCAAGGTGATATTATCTTAAAGAGGGCTGAAGGATTCAAAATCAAACTGGAACCCAGGAAAACTCTTAAGGCCTAATTTATATTTATTATTTTATGATTATGTTTGTAGATATGGTATTATTTAATAACAAATAAAGTTGTTGCATATTGAATTGTTTTTATATTTATTCCACAATTTCCAGTGATCTTTATTAATATGTTGATAAAAATATGTTAAATTACTTAATAATCACACGGTATACCTATAGGCAAATTTTTAACTCTGGAAATATCACAGCTAAACGCTTGGACACGTAAACATAATTTTTGGTCGTAGATTCCAAATCCGTGCTCGGTTTAGCTGTTCAGGTGTAAAAAAGGTTTTCCCATTGGCAATTCAATCCGGAGACACTGGTATATTATTATAATAAGTAATTAAGATATATTATTTTACAAATAATTATTTGTAAAATAATATATCTTACCTCTTGTGCCAAAATTCATATGCTTTTAATTTTTTTTAATATACTCTCTAAAAATGCATTAGTCAAAAATTAATTAATGATTTAATAGTTATTAGTGGCTGCTTTTTCACTTGTACCATGGTTAACCATGGAATACCATGGTATCCCAAAATTTAACAGCCAATTCTTATGTAAAATTGTCCCCTGAATCCGAAAATCAATTATGAAAGTGGAGCAGTTTTTGAGATATAGTCAATTCCATATTAAATGGAAAATGGAAAACTTTTTTAACTTTTGACGACATTTTCGGATTCAGGGGACAATTTTACATAATAATTGGCTATTAAATTTTGGGATACCATGGTATTTCATGGTTAACCATGGTACAAGTGAAAAAGCAGCCACTAATAACTATTAAATTAGTCATTTTTGACTAATTCATTTTTAGAGAGTAATAACAATTACATAATATTCTCAATTATAGTCCATAAAAAAACAGGAAACAAATATTTTGAATTTCCTAAATTATGAAAAAAAATCCTCCGTTTTGATCAATTAATATAATATACAATAATATATTGACCTGATACAGCTAAACCAAGCACGGATTTGTAATCTACGACCAAAAGTTTACGTGTCCGAGCTGTGATTTTTTAGGTCATTATAGGGAGTGTTATTATACATATTATAATCTTTAATTAATTATATTCAAATTATATAACTAAATCAAGTTCAAATAATGGTTTAAATTGAATAAAAAATGTTAATTTTTTCTTCCAAATTAAAAGGAAAATTTTTACAATTTTATTTACCTTTGGCCCAATTAACATTTGGGTTTTGCATTTATATTACTGATTTAGTAAACTGGTTGCTATAGAAAATCATCAACAAAAAACGAATTAACAAAATGTTATATCTTTAATAATCATTCTTTATAAAATAAATTTGAATATAAATAGTTTGCCATTCGATGTTTTCTTTAAGTGAAATTTCTTACAATCAATTATATACCTAATACATGTTTTGTAAAACATTCTACTAAGATTGTGTGCACGCACGCAGGCACAACATTTTGGGGGCGCAAAATTAAAAAGTCAATCAGTACTTGATATGAGGATCAAAATAAAAGGAGAGAAATGGTCATAATATTTTTAGTATTTGTTTGATATTTGCAGTTTACGTTAGAAAAGTTTAACAGTAGTCTACACAGTGCATGACTAATTGAATTAGTCATTTGACTAATTCTATTTTAAAGAGTATACTTTAAAGTCAAAAATGATTAATTCAGTTAGTCTTAATTGCTATAGCTATTAGTCGCTGCTTTTTCGCACTAGTTTACAACATCGAAAAAAAATTCTGCCCACCATATCCCATTATAATTTTCCCATATAGTTTAACCCACTAAACTAGGTATTTTTTTATGGAAGAGTTTTTGAAATATGAATTTTCAATTTTGTGTTTTGACGTTTTTGAGTATAGCTTGAAATCTAATTGAACGATTTGGTCAAACAAGCCCTTAAATTGAAGGTATTTAAGCCCTCTAAAACTTTCTTTTCGATTCGATTTTAATAACTTAAAAAAAATCGTTTTTATGGCAAAAATTGAGGTCGAAAATGTACAATATCGTCCTGGGAAAGGTTTAAATCAAACAGATTACTTCAGTTTGATTTTATTTTTTCATGAAGCTTACATTTTTATAAAAAAAAACAAGCTAATGTTGATAAAAATCCATGGAAAAATGGCGAATTTTTTAGTGGAAGACCAATATTCAGCTTTTCGACGATTTTTAGTTTTTTTTCTTTTATTTTGTAATGTTTATTCTTTAATGAAAACCTAATTAAAGTACATGATTGAAATTTTTTGAGTTTTTTACGTACTTTTTTCACCGAAAACATTATTTATAATTTAAATTTGACATGACTCCGCAAACGTTAATTCTTTTGTTTCTCGTGTTGGCATAGTGACATTTTACTGCTATTTTTTGATATTTCAACAAGGTATTTTTATCATGGAGTTCGAGTGCGTAAATAACCCGAACAATCTGGGTGACGTAAGTGATGAGCACGGAGAACGTTTTCACCAGCAAATGAAGGCTATGGAGCGGCGGTATTACGGCTTCTGGGGTGCAGCCATGATGGGTGATTACTAGGGATGGGATTTTAGTTATTTTACCTTTTTTCAACCAATGTAACTATTTGAAAACCAATAATGGCAAAATGTGTTTTAAAAGATTTTCTATTATATGAACCCAACGTGTTTTCACCTTTTTTACCTTTTTTGGAGGTTTTTGCTTTAGGTAAACTACCTTTTCATACTTTTGTTACATATTTTTTAATTTGTCAGTTTATTGTGACAAAAGGCATAATCTTACGTCTCAAAATATAGAAAAGATTCTTATTTGTTACTCAAGTAGTAAAGTTACATAGTGGGTAAATATTAGGTACTCCATATTTTTTAATTCCTTCTTGCTAAGTTATATAAAAAGTTTTATTTTATGTTACTTTATCGTTTGTTACTTTAGTAGTAAATTTCGTAAATATCAGGTATTCCCTGTTATATTTTCAGTTCCTTATAGCTTTAATTAACTATTGGTCAGTTAAACTGACTCAGTTTATAAAAAAAATGTATGTTACTTATTTTATAAAAATAAACGAAACTTGAACTTTTAATGTTTTTTTACCTAAAATGCTGTTTTTTTAACCTAAAATGCTTTTTTTTAGTACCTTTTTAGTTACCTATTTTTCAGTTTTTAGTACCTAAATATCCCATCTTTAGTGATTACATTTGGTCCCTCATACGAGAAACGGAATACGAAAGCAACAAAAAACAAAGAAGGAGATAGATTTTAATCTTAATCTTTAATGTTCAATATTTAATGTTCAATTTTTAATAAATAATTTAATTTCAATATTTAATGTTTACGTATTATAAACATTATCAAAAAAGTGAATTTTTGTCTTCCACTGAAAAATTCGCCATTTATTCATGGATTTTTATCAACAGCAGCTTATTTTTTTCCTCTTGGTATTATCTATACGTAAAATAAATCAAACTGGACTTATCTTTTTGATTTCTATCTTTCCCCGAAAGATATGTAAATTTTCGACCTCGATTTTTGTAAAAAAAAAGGACTTTTCGAGAAACTTTTTCAACATTATAAAATCGAATTACTGGGCCAATTCCAAAACTATACAAGAGAAAGTTGTAGAGGGCTCAATATTACCTTTGATTTGATGCTTGTTTGGTCAAATCGATCAATTAGAACTCGCTTAAACGTCAAAACATCAGAAAATTAAAAAAACAATTAAAAATTCATATCTCGAAAACGCTTCCATGAAAAAAAGTGTGATTTTCGCGTTTAGTGAGCCAAACTACACAAGAAAATCATAGTGAGACATGGTGGGCAAAATGGCTGTAAAATATTGTAATTATCGTCAAAACAATTAATTGCTATTGACGATAATTACATATTATCACATTATAATGTATATATACATAATTACAATAGTTTACAGCCATTTTGCCATACAAATTTGCATCCCGGACATTTAGCAGTCAACTGCTATGTAAAATTGTCCGCTGAATCCGAAAATGTCAAAAGTTAAAAAAGTAGAACGTTTAGTAAATTTTCCATAAAATATAGAATCTACTATCCCTTGCGGCCTTGAGTTCACGGTTTTTTCACCGTGAATTCACTATGAATTCACCGTGAATTCACGGTGAATTCACCGTAAACTCACCGTGAATAAACCGTCTGTTTGTGACATTTGTAAACGGTAGTTAGACGGTGAATTCACGCACTTTTCACAGTATTTTAATTGTGAATCCACCGTATTTTGGCGGTATATTCACGGTGAATTCACGGTGAATAAACCGTCAACTAAAAGGCCGCAAGGGTAGGTATATCCTATAGGTTTAACACGACTATAGCTAGCCATTATTCGTTACTGAGCAGATGAGGATTAATGTTCAGCTATGCCATTACAGACGCACACTTCCAACTAAATATTGCAACCCAACGCTATTTATAGTTAGCTCGCTTGCGTAAGCAGCCGTGAGATGTATTGAGTTCACCGTGAATTAACCGTGAAATCACCGTGAATTTATCGCAAAAACAGCGTGAGTTCATTGTTTAATTACCGTCTACAAATGTCACAAATGGACGATATTCACTGCACATACTCGTAAACGGTGTATTCACGGTGAATTCACGCAAACGGTGAATTCACCGTAAACTCAAGGCCGCAAGGGATATCTTAAAAATTGCTTTACTTTCATAATTTTTAACGGTATTGTCAGATTCAGGGGACAATTTTACATAATAATAAGCTGTTAAATTTCCGGGATACAAATTGCTGTGGACCAAAGTTATTAGTGACTGCTTTTTTACTTCGAAAACTAGTCATTTTTGACTAATTCATTTTTAGAGAGTACGTCACTAAAAACCAGTTGTAGTTATATTATTTTTCTGTTTTCTTTAGAGTATTTTTATCACTGAATATTTTTTGTGATTTTGTTTGTTTGGTAATTAAATAAATATTCTTTATACTTAATTAAAGCGGTTTTTTTAAATTTTCAATTACATATTGCCAGTTTGTCGCAACATATATATTTTTTAAATTTAATGGCTTAAAATTAAAATATTTAATGTATTTTATTTAAATATAAAAGGGGCGCATCAACGAATTCTGCACGCAGGCGCCAGACACCCCAGGAACGGGCCTGTTATTAGGTATCAAATATTTTAGTGTCCCCAGATAGGTTTTTACCTTTATATTTATTTGCCTATTAGTTTTATATTTATATTTTATTATGTTTATTTGGTAAATAAAACCCAAAATTTAAACTGTATTTTAATTAGCATTTTTTTTTGGATTGTTATAATTATTAATTAAACTGCTCGTCATAAAAAACGACGCACCTAGTTTTTTGGAAAATATTTGAAAGCTCGTTATTGGAAAATTACTGAATCGATTTTGAAAATCTTTGAAAATTCTGAATAGCTGATTCTTTGACTCATATGTCTAATTTTGGGAATACGATATTTTGCACATAGCATTATACTACAGGGTGTTAAACGAAGAGATGCATTTTTTTCGAAATTTCAAGTTATTCCCATTCATAGGGCAGTTGACTTTGATAGTCGTAATACCTCTCCCTGATATAAGTTGGGTAATCCCTCGGAACGTTTTCGAGATTTTGTGGATATCTTGGCTAACTACGATTATATGCCAATTTTTTTAAAATTGTCCTTATTCCCCAGTTTAGTCCAAAAAATGAACAATAGTGGATTCTTTGACTTACGTCTAATTTTGGGAATACGATATTGTGTACATGACATTATACTACAGGGTGTTAAAAAAAGAGATGTTTTTTTCCAAAATTCCAAATCCCCATTCACAGGGCAGTTGTGCTTGATAGTCGTAATACCCCTCCCTAGTAACAGTTAGGTAATCCCTCGGGACCTTTTCGAGATTTTGTGGATATCTTGGCTAACTACGATTATATGGCAATTTTTCGAAAATTGTCGTTATTCTCCATTTTAGTCCAAAAAATGAGCAATAGTTGATTCTTTGACTCTTATGTCTAATTTTGGGAATACGATATTGTGCACTTAGCTACATACTACAGGGTGTTAAAAAAAAGAGATGTTTTTTTTTTTCCAAAATTCCAAATCCCCATTCACAGGGCAGTTGAGCTTGATAGTCGTAATACCCCTCCCTAATAACAGTTAGGTAATCCCTCGGGACGTTTTCGAGATTTTGGAGATATCTTGGCTAACTACGATTATATGGCAATTTTTTGAAAATTGTCGTAATTCTCCATTTTAGTCCAAATAATGAGCAATAGTTGAGCAATAGTTGATTCTTTGACCCTTATGTCTAAGTTTGGGAATACAATATTGTGCACATAGCATAACAAAAATATTTTCATATTCGACGAAAAAAATGACAACAATAATTGAAGCGATGAAAGTCAAAACCAGATATGCACCATATTTTTTAAACTTTCATGCTCAACCGTTTGTAGAAAATTGCATAAATATAGCCTGCATAAGTTTACGAGAATAATTTTGTTTGGTTTGCGTTTTTATTTTGAATTTCACCAAAAAAAATTGCTTTCGTGTAAAAAATTTCAGATTTAATGAATCACGCAACGTACATAAACTGAAAGCACGTTACCTACCTTAAAACTCTGTGTTGATAACTAATAGATACCTTCCGTAGTTTGCTCATTTTTGTGACTTAAGAGGAGAATATCGTGAATTTTCGAAAAATTGCCATATAATCGTAGTTAGCAAAGATATCCACAAAATTTCGAAAATGTTCCGAGGGATTATCTAACTGTTATTAGGGAGGGGTATTAGGACTATCAAGCTTAACTGCCCTGTGAATGGGGATTTGGAATTTTGGAAAAAAAACATCCCTTTTATTAACACCCTGTAGTAGCATGCTATGTGCACAATATTGTATTCCCAAACTTAGACATAAGGGTCAAAGAATCAACTATTGCTCATTATTTGGACTAAAATGGAGAATAACGACTATTTTCAAAAAATTGGCATATAATCGTAGTTAGCCAAGATATCCCCAAAATCTCGAAAACGTGCCGAGGGATTACCCAACTGTTATAAGGGAGGGGTATTACGACTATCAAGCTCAACTGCCCTGTAAATGGGGATTTGGAATTTTGGAAAAAAAAACATCTCTTTTTTTTAACACCCTGTAGTATGTAGCTAAGTGCACAATATCGTATTCCCAAAATTAGACATAAGAGTCAAAGAATCAACTATTGCTGATTTTTTGGACTAAAATGTAGAATAACGACAATTTTCGAAAAATTGCCATATAATCGTAGTTAGCCAAGATATCCACAAAATCTCGAAAACGTCCCGAGGGATTACCTAATTGTTACTAGGGAGGGGTATTACGACTATCAAGCACAACTGCCCTGTGAATGGAGATTTGGAATTTTGGAAAAAAAACATCTCTTTTTTTAACACCCTGTAGTATAATGTCATGTACACAATATCGTATTCCCAAAATTAGACGTAAGTCAAAGAATCCACTATTGCTCATTTTTTGGACTAAACTGGGGAATAAGGACAATTTTAAAAAAATTGGCATATAATCGTAGTTAGCCAAGATATCCACAAAATCTCGAAAACGTTCCGAGGGATTACCCAACTTATATCAGGGAGGGGTATTACGACTATCAAAGTCAACTGCCCTATGAATGGGAATAACTTGAAATTTCGAAAAAAATACATCTCTTCGTTTAACACCCTGTAGTATAATGCTATGTGCAAAATATCGTATTCCCAAAATTAGACATAAGAGTCAAAGAATCAGCTATTCAGAATTTTCAAAGATTTTCAAAATCGATTCAGTAATTTTCCAATAACGAGCTTTCAAATATTTTCCAAAAAACTAGGTGCGTCGTTTTTTATGACGAGCAGTTTATTTGCTTTCCAGATGATATTTTACCATCTGTTAAAGATACGGTAGAGACTTAATAATAATTACACTCTGTATATTTTGTGCCTAAAAACTTGTCAATGTCATATATAAACAATATTCGTTTGAAATTTTCCTAATTTTATAAAAATGCCAATTCAATTTATGAACAGAATAAAATGCTCAAAATTAAGACAACAAAAGCGGGACGCAAAAGTTAAAAAACTTGAAAGAGATCTTCCGGTGTATACTATTGAAGAAATGAGAAGGTAAAACGCATACCAATATATTCATTACACAAAATAAAGGTTGCAGATGCCTTATCATGAAGCCATATATTGCGAGCTCGAAGAAAAAGGTTTATTAAATACCATGGAATTTCTTAAACAATTAATTACTTTTCAAGAAACATCCAGGAAACAAGGGGCTGATACAGCCTCAGCAAACAAACCAAGACTTGTTAATAGTAAAAATCATTTAGATTACTTGGTTGATGGTCTTAGTAAAGCTGAAATTGCAGAAAAAAAAGGTAGAAATAATCATTTTTTACAGCAAAATGCATATTGATATTCCAGATGATTACTTTCAAACGTGCTTTGAGTTTTTATTGTTAGCAAAAAAGTATTGCTTTGACGAAGCTAAGTGGGAATGGTTAGGAGAGCAGCTAGTGATACAAAGTAAAGCAGCCTCTTCCAGGCTTGAGGGCAATAAATTGCAATTAAAAGCCATTAGTGAGTACATGCATGGTAGATTTATAATTGAAACAAGTAAGTTTTATCAAAAAAAATGTAATTTCCAACTTACACCGTTATTGTCTATAGCTGATTCAAAGGAGCTGGGTATAGTTCATCTGGAAAGTTGCAGAGAAACTTCAAATGGAAAGCCATGGAAAGCAAAAGCGTTTTTTCCGGAGCATAAGCAAAGCTTGGCCGAAGAAGTTTGTTTAACTTTGTACCACATGTATTACAATGAAGCTAAGGAGTTGTTAAAAACCTTTCCCAAGAATGCTGGAAAGTATGCTTTGCTAGCCAAGAAGCGGGCAATGCAAGGTATAAAAAAAATAGTGGTAGTTTTTGGTAAAGTTTTTCTTTGATTGCAGCCTGTTTTACTGAGGGAATAACAGAATCGATGTTGTTAAAAGGTATAACAGATTTGGTGGACAACAATTTAGAGTTGGCCATACAGTCAATGGTAGCTGCATTTGGTGTACAGATGAAGAATGAAGCATATGATCCAAGGCTTAAAATAGCTATGGAAAAATTAAGGTCTGCTTAAAATTTTTAGAATGAGAAATTAATGAAATACTTGAGAGCAAAATTAGGAGATAATCCAAATGATAAATGTTAAATTAAGTTCAAAGTATTTATGTATTGTTTAAACATAAATTATTTTTAAAAAACGAATCACACATGCTTGAGTTTTAAGACCATAGAATGTATAAAGGTTTAAAAAACTTGGTTTAAAATGATTAAAATCGAACTTAAGTTTGATTCAATCAATCGATTGACAAAATTCACGATATGGTATAAGTGATCGATTGTTGTTGTTGAGGAACAAGCATATCATAAGAATCATTGAAAGTGAAAAATCAATATGAAAAAGATATCGGCAAGATGGGTGCCGCGTTTGCTCACATTGGATAGAAATTGTTGCCGCTTCCTCTGTACTTCAGGCCTCTAAATGCAAAACACTATATTTTTAAAGATTTTCACATAATTTTCCTGCAAATAACAATAAAATCCATATATTTTCTATAGAAAATCAGGCTTAGGTAGCCTTTTTTAGCATCTACTTGAACAGAAACCAGCAACACTCTTGCAGGTGGTTATTTCGCCGCTGCAAGTAACTGGTTACATGGCTCGCCATACAAATATTTACGTTGAACGACCCTGGCGAAAATGAAATGTGCAAAAAGTGTGCAAAATTATTTAAGAACAATGTGCCAACAATGTGCAATCTTTTAAAAAAATGATGTGCGGAGGGTGGGAAATGGAACATGAAACAATGTGCAAAACCAAAAATTTAAAAGTGTGAATAATCACTGGAGAATGATCTCCTTTTGATTTTTCACATTGTTTGCACACTGTTTCTTGCCACCTGTGTGCCTATTACAAAAACAGATTTTTTTTGGTGACCTATAAAGTCTCATAATTGAAATATAAATATCCTTATAATAATATTAATCAAATAAATATTTTTTTCAAAAAAATTAAAAAAGAAAAGAAAAATACATGCACTGTCAACTCCACGAAGTGAAATGCTTTGATCTTAGCAATAGGCCGAGAATCGATACATAAGATGGAATCTACCTCACCTTTTAAATAAATGCATTTATTTAAAAGGTGCAACATGTTGTACCCCAACTCAAGCGAGATATATCTAAAATGTGCTTAAATTGTTGAGTGATCGCTAAAACTGTGCAAACAATGTGCTATAAAAACAGTGGCGTAACTACCAGGGGTCTTAGGGGTCAGATTGTCCGGGGCCCCGAGCATCAGGGGGCCTCCGAAAGTGGTAAACAAAAAAATGTTTTGTATATAATTATATGAAAAAATTCGTTGTGTATAATTATATAAAAAAAAAATTTTCATATGAAAATATCAAATCTTTTGGTCATTTCTATATTCGTAACCTGGATCATATTATTTGTCTCTTGTATTCTTAATTTTTAATTTTCGCGCCATAGCGGATGCGCATGTTTCATTATGGCCAACCTTCCTTTTCTCGCTCAAGGTTTTGAAAGTTTCTCGCACTGAATTTCAAGTGATAATATTGAATCAAAACAAACTTTTCGAAAACAATCTTGATTGCTCGATTTCTGTCGTATGTCTGAATAAAGTTTGACGGAGTTTGAGTTGAAACGTGAATTGTTTTTTGAGGCGCCTATTTCATGGTTGATTCTGGAGTAAATCATTCATCGGGTAAGTGACTGTCGTGGCTGTAACCTTAACATATATGTATATCATGAAAATAATACGTCAGTTCATGGTTGCGAATGAAAATTTTTGCGTAACGTTGAATATAGGTTTTAATATTTAATTACTCCGAGAAAATTGAAAAGTATAAATTATATCAATATAATACTGAAATCTATGAACAAATATAACATATTAGTGCACTGTGACGCTATATAATATGAAAACTTCGGAACGCATATCTGATGAAAAATTATCCTATTACAGATAAAATAATCAAACATAAGCTCGAATAAACGCGTTCATCCAAGTGGTGCTCAAAAAAGGAAAATAAAATTGGAGTCAGAAGCAGCTGTGAAAAAGTTGAAACCCATAACGTCATTTTTCACGCCACAACATCAGGAACAGAAAAAACAAAAATCTGAAGATGAAGGCTAAAGGGAGAGTTATTCTTCTAGTAGCGATATGCAGCAAAAAGAAACAGAAGCAGATATGATCGTTACACCACCGAACACTGACAGTAACGTTTCCATCGCTACAGACGATTCAAAAAAGGAAGAAATGGCAGCTCCTGTGCTAAACACTACTATGGAACATATTAATTTGCTAGAAAAAAGACATCCTGCTGATAAAGGACATTACAAGAGCGTTTTAACTGCAGAATTAAAAAGATTCATAATTTCGCATGGACCATGCCAACCGATGGGACCTTTACCACGAGATGAAGAAACGGGGAATCGATTTTCTTCGTTTTTTTATGAATCAAAAAATAAAGCAGGATTGAAAATTCCACGAACATGGTAACTAAGCAAATTACTTACTCATTGTTTCATATGACACGATTTAAAAAAAAAACTCATAATTTTTTCGTTTTTAGGTTATGTTATTCTGAAGTTCAGGGTTGGGTCAGTAGAAAACCTTAGGTAATTTACCTTGGTAGAAAAGGGTAGAAAACTTGTTTTCGACTTGCGTCCAAAACCTATAGGGTTTTCTACCTACGTAAATTACCTTATTCGACCTTCTCCTTCCACTTCTCTATAATTAATAAAAATTTGCCCTCATGCCAAAAATTATGTTGGGGTCTCCCAACCAAACGTGGCCCTTTTTTTCCCACCATAATAATGTTAAAAAACTCCAAATAACTTCAAATTTATGGTGAGTGTCTGATTTTTCACAACATTTAACAAATCATAATAAACAACAAACTTGCATAACCTCACATTTTTTGATATTTGACAGTATTCTACTTTTTTACGTTTTCTACCGTCGAAAAAGGTTTTCTACATGTCGAAAACAAAAATGTAGGTAGATACCCAACCCTGCTGAAGTTCTTGACTGCGCATATTGTGAGGTTTGCTGGTTATTTGCTGATAGAGAATGTGCAAGTTATAAACCAGCTAGGGTAGATGGATTCCGTAACTGGGCAAAATTAAGTAGCAAAATTTCTCATCACGAAAAGTCAACCATTCATTACAACGCTTGCATGGTATACGTATCGTGGCGATTGAATAAATCTCTCATCGATAAGGACCTTGAAAATCAAACTCTCCGAGAAAAATCTTTCTGGTGCAAAGTTCTCGACAGAATTATGAATATAATTCTTACCCTGGCTACATCCCAGGTAGCAGGCTGACGTATTTAACACGTCGAATATTGGTGATTTTTCGTCATCTGACGTCTTCTTGTCCCGATATGACGTCAACATAACGTAGTTTTAAGACGTATATTATACGTCATAGTTGTCAGGTAATAAACACGCAAATTTTTAGTCATATTTTTTTAACAATCCTGTCTATAGAAAATTTTAATTTTGACGTACGTCATAGCAAATGTTACGCATAAAATTTGCGTGTACACTACTTTTTAATATGTTTATAAAACACGTGTTTTATAAAAATATTAAAAAGTAGTGTAAACGTAACATTTGCTATTTTAAAAATAGTGGGATCGAATTTAATATAAAAGACATACAAATATTTTTTTATAAATGCATATAAATATTATTATAATAATTATAATTATTAAGAAAAAAACGATTCTCATAGTTGAAAGCCCGCTAATAAAACTTTTAATATTATATTTTTTTTATGTTTACCAATGCAAAAAATTACTTGCATTAAAATTTTGCGTTGACATAATGTTTATCTATAATAAATCTTTTTTCATTTTCTATAACAATAAATATTTAAATTACCCGCTTGTCTTTTTATGTCGGAGCGCCACCGTTGTCAGATTGTAGCTTTTCTTTCCAAATCATTAATAAACAAGGATGCTACTTAAATTGTAATAAAAAACTTATTATTAATAAGATATTAATTCAAGCTAAAAATTTTATTACCTACCTCTATTAATCACCAAGCTATTAATCACTAATCACCAAGCTATTAATCACCTACCAACCGCTACGTGGCAACGTTGATATCAACGTGGGTCATGATACAACAAACAACGTGAGCAACGAAATCTTTGAACGTGAGTGATTTTGATTATGCCTACCCCAGCTATTAACCCTATTAACCCAAGAGCATCCTACACAACCATGAAACAGATACGCAATACGCAAAAGTGCCTTTTCTGCACCTAAATCATTTTGAAAGTGTGCATAGTCTTTTACACATACAAAGACGTCTTAAGATGACGTCTTTTTCACGCCAAAAAAAGACGTCATTGGTCTGTGACTTACGCACGTATTTTTTACGTTTTATTTACGTAATAAACGACGTGTTAAATACGTCAGCCTGCTACCTGGGATGCAACCTTCCATTTCGAGGACATCGGGAGGTCATTGGTGATTCTGGAAATAATGGAAACTTTTTGTCAATTGTTGAATTGCTGGCGGTATATGACCCTGTTTTGAAAGAACTCATTACAAAACCAGAGAATTCCATTCGATACTTGAGCCCTCAAATCCAAAATGAGATCATCGGCCTGCTATCTAAGACTGTGGAAAATGAAATCGTCAAGAATATTCAAGAAGCGCCATTCTTTTCCATCATAACCGATACAACTCAAGATATAGCTAAAATTGATCAAATGAGTCAAATTTTCAGATACGTGCAAATTATCAAAGATGAAAACGGGAAACCAGTTGATGTCAAAATCACCGAATCTTTCTTAGGATTCGAAAAAGTCGATGATCAAACGGCTAATGGACTGGAATCAAAAATTGTTGATGGACTGGAAAAAAGAGAAATCAAACTTTCAAAATGTCGGGGACAATCGATGGAGCTGCTACAATGAGTGGAATTTACTACGGGGTTCAGAAGAAAATTCTTGATAGAGAAGAAAAAGCCATTTACGTTCATTGCGCAGAGCATAGACTCAATCTCGTTCTCAATGATGCCTCGACGGGTGCAATACCTGAAGTCCAAAGATTCTGGGAGTTAATTGAGCAAATTTACGTTTTTTTTGCAAACAGTATCAAAAGATGGGAGTTATTATCGGCTTTCCTTTCTAAAAATTCTCTGTTGAAACTCAAACGACTCTGTCCAACTCGATGGTCATCCCGGAACGATTCTTTACAAGCTGTCGCATTCAGGTACTGTGATATTTTGAAAGCGCTGTCTAAAATCATCCTCATCAGTAATTCTAAAACTGAGCGAAATGAAGCGATTTATATACGTAAAGAGATGGAAAATTTCGAATTTGTTCTTCAAGTTGTTATGCACACGAAGGTTCTGACGACAACGAACCTGGTTACGAAAGCTCTTCAACGGCCAGACGTCGACCTTTCTCAAGCAAATGTTTTACTTGAGCGAGCGTATCAAGCACTACGAGTATTCCGAAATGACTACGAGGGAGCGAAAACACAGGCGGTCAAACTGAGTGCTGCTTGGGGAGTCAAGGTTGAGTTTTGCAACAAGCGCATCAAGAAAACCAAGAAATATTTCGAAGAATTATGTGAAGACGAAAGACTATCCAATGGAGGGGCACGATTCCGAGTTAATATTTTCCATGGATGTCTCGATATCATTTGCAATCAATTACTCAATCGATTTGAGAGTTTGAAGGATGTCATCAAAACTTTTCGAGTTCTCCAACCTGAAGAATTGACAAAAATGACGGATCAAGAATTGTTCAAAGAAGCTGTGAAACTTGCGGATACTTATGCTGAAGACATCGGTGACAGATTTCCTGAACAGTTGATATCGCTTCGATCGTGTCTCAAAAAACGAATTGAGAAACTAAGTTCTGTTAAGCAACTTGCGGATTTATTAATCGTTGAAAATGCTGCTTTGTCTACAAATTTTCAAGAAGTTTGTACAGCTGTGATTTTGTTTTTGACTATTCCGGTCACAGTTGCAACGGCTGAGAGATCATTTTTCAAATTGAAAATCATCAAAACTTATCTTCGAAGTACAATGGGCCAGGAGCGTTTGAGTTGCTTGAGTATTCTGTCCATCGAACATAAAATTGCCAATCGTTTGAGAAGTAACCTCGATCAAATTATTCGCAAGTCCGCTGATGCCAAAGTAAGGCGTATTAAATTCTGAATGAGTATATCGTAACGTCAGAAACTCGGAAATTTTACGTTTTATTCACTGTTTTTAATTTTGGTAGTGTACCATGAGAATAAAAAATTTTACAGAAATTACTTAACACTTTTTTTAACGTTATTGTATCCATCCTTTGAATAAATCCTTTTAAAACTCCAAGCAAACAATATTATTGTGTGTGTGTTTGGAAAGGGGGGGGGGTTGAAATGATGTAAAAAAAATTTTTGGTAAGGGCCCCCTTGTGAAAAATTGTCCGGGGCCTCCACTTCTATAGTTACGCCACTGTATAAAAAGGTGTAACATAAGCGTCATAAATGAGAAATATTAAAGCGTGCTAACAGTGTGTATAAAATGTGACATGTGTAAGATAGACTGAAGCTTTGCAAAATGTCTTTAAACAATGTACTAACACTGTGCAAACAATGTGCTAAAATATAATGTAATGATGTCAATGTACATAAAGAGTGAAAAAACTTAATTATTTCAAAAAGTGTGAAATTACCACAAAGTAGCGTGTATGCACATTGTTATAAAGACTTGCACTCCAAATACACACTTATTGCACACTTTTCATGCACGCTTTATTTTCGCCAGGGAATGGTGTAATTTCCGAAACACATGCCTATTTTGATGGCCTTCCTGTACCTTATTAAAAATTGAGAAACGTTTTTTATTGTTTTGTAAGGACTTCCCCTCGTATTTCATATACACGCCGATAAATCAAAGGACTTCTCTTATGCTTCTCCCAACTTTATTGATGACCTTTTATTTGTTTACACGTATTCGTAATCCCATAACATTCTCAAAACATATTTGATTCCAATCAAAGTAGTAGGTATCATTTAGAACCAAGTGTTTAAGTATTTAAACAATACATAATACAATTTACAACTGAATTTTAAGTACATTTTTAAAACTTAAATAATGCAACGACCATAAATCTTAACCTTTTAACCTTTTAATGTGGTATTCAAAACTAAACCTATAAAGCTGCTTAAATTGGTTACATTATATTTAGACAAGGCAAGACAATCGCAGCCCTGGAAATTTTGATGGTAATTAAGGATTCCTTAAATATACAAGGCCTTACATACTTTGTAGCCCAAACCTACAGATATCTTGGGGAAATTAAATTAGGGCAAGGAGAAGCTTCCCAAGCAACCATTCTATTAACAACTTCTCTAAACATTTTTTTGGAATTAAAAATGGCAGAAGAGATCGAACAAGTTCGTAATTTGGCTGCCATTTCGGCTGGTCAAGAGTTAATGCCGAAGTATACGGAAATGATACTGAAAACAACGCGTAGAGGAGTGGAAGGTATGGAAAATATGGAGAGGTTAATTGATTGGAAGGATATTAGAGAACCATTTTGGACGGAGGAGGAAGCCAGCATTCCTTCGGGTGATTCAAAAAGTTTTGAGGAATTGTCTTTAGGATTTAATGATATTTCTTCGAATATAACTTCCATATCGGAGGAAGAGGATGAAACGGAAGGTTTAGAAATTATCCATGAAGTGGAAGATATTCCTATAAGTACAGGGGTATATAATATTAAGTTTGCAACAAACAGTTTTTATTATAATATTCCAGGACTATGAGTTTGATGAAGATTTCTATGGCGAAGAAGATCAAATTACAGAAGAAGAAATTTTAATTGACGATGAAGAAATCAGCATTGCCACAGACGAGTCTTCTTGTGAAAATTCATGGATTAAAGTGGACTTGTACCAAGTGCCAAAACTACCTATACAAATGAAACGTATTCAAAAAGATGTGAAAATCAAGGTTAATCATTATATTAATATACATAATTTAGTCCCTATTCGAAGTTTTTGTGAAAGGTCTTAAAAAACGACCACAAAATACGATTTAAGTAAACGTAAACCTTAATTTGCATAGTTTAAGCGCTATTATAGTATAATACGACTACAATGTAAGTAATGATCCTATTTCATAAAAAAACATACCCAAGTTAAATATCAATATTAAATATTTTAATAAATGATGAACCCACCATGAAGGTGGGTTCAGCATAAAAATTAATATAAATAATTTAAAATTATACCAATTATTTCAATAAATATCTTTAAGACTTTATTTATAAGAGGTGTTTCTACTTTGTTTGAAAAAAGTCAATTGCCATAGGTTTTAAGTATTAAATATAGAACTATGCAATTTTACATAAGCATAAAATTTATAGTAATAACTAGGGATGGGACTTTAGTTATTTTACCTTTTTTCAACCGATATAACTATTTGAAAACCAATAATGCCAAAATGTGTTTTAAAAGATTTTCTTTTATATGAACCTAACTTGTTTTCACCTTTTTTACCTTTTTTGGCTTTTTTGCTTTAAACTACCTTTTTTATACTTTTGTTACCTATTTTTTTTTAACTTGTTTTCACCTTTTTTTACCTTTTTTGGAGGTTTTTGCTTTAAACTACCTTTTTATACATATTTTTTAAATCGTCAGTTTTTTTTACATATTTGTTATCTATTTTTACATATTTTTACTTATTTTATTTTTTTGTGTTCTTTTTAAATTTTCCGCCAATATTTTATCCAGGGCGTGCAACTCAACGGTATAGAATTTTTTCTTATGGTCACAGACTAACAGTAACTTTCTTTACAGTTACCTTATTTGTAGTGAGCTTATGTTCGTTCTGTCATAAAACTTCTGTGTAGTGAGTGTCACTTAGTGAAACACAGTTTATTGCATAGAAATAGTTTATTGAGGGTATTTTCTGTGTTTGGGTATGCGGCTAAACAAAATTATAAACGAGACTTGAACTTATAATGTTTTTTTACCTAAAATGCTGTTTTTTTTACCTAAAATGCTTTTTTTTAGTACCTTTTTAGTTACCTATTTTTCAGTTTTTAGTACCTAAATATCCCATCTTTAGTAATAACTTTGTTTAACTAAAAAAAAATTTTTTTTCCTCATAAAAACAATAAAATTCACTAGTTTTTGGAGGTTTAAAAAAATAAAATGTATTTCTTATTAAAAAAAAATAGGCTTATAAAGTTATGTTGTACGTTACAGAAATTTAAACGTATAGCAAAGTTTAGCAAAATATTTAAAAAAAATATTTTCATAAAAAATAAGAAATATGGATTTTTCTGTTTTAAGAAATAGGTTTTTAAAATTCAATATTATTTTAGTCACAAGTATGGAGACAACGTAATTTAATGGTAGGTACCTAAAGTACTTCCGTCAACTTGAAAAAAGTCTTATCGCGATGTCTATCACGCTGTAAGTTTATCAATGGTTAAAGTTTGGACTCATTTTTTCCAGATATTTTTAAAAGTAACTCGTTATACCTTAATTCTTGGCCTGAGGAATAGGTCATAGGTTTTTGCTTGGACAAAGTAAAAAAATGGACGGGTAACGCCTATTTTTGTGTATTGAAATAATAGACCAGGAGGCAGTACATTTTTGTACTAATTTTTCAAGTCAGCAAACTGCAAAAACCTAATTTCCTAATTTAATAGATGGCGCTTCAATCGTGTTAACAATTTATGTATTTAGGCGCAGTACGTACAAGATGCGCACTAGTTCTTGGACTATTGTACCCATACGTAGTAGGTACCAGATGATTGTATTTATGCGCAGTAGGTACCAGATGACCGTACCTTTGCGCATTCGTTTTAAGATGATTGTACCCATGCGCAGTAGATGATTGTATATATACGCAGCAGGTACCAGATGACCGTAACCATCCGCAGTGGTTTAAGATGACCGTACCATGCGCTCGATTATCAACTCCCGAGAATTCACAACAGAACATTTCCAATTTGTAAATACCATTTGTATTGTCAATAAAAAATTTCATTCGTATAAATACGACAGACGCGACGATTTTTTCGGTACCAAGATCCATATTTCGTCAGAAGTAGTGTCCGGTTCACCGTAATTGCAAGACCTGAAGATGGTGTCAAACAACATTTGAGGACACTAGAAGCCAAGGGGTAAAAGTACATTTTGTTTAGTTTTGATATTATCATGTTTAAAGTAAAAAAAAACACTAGTAATTTGAAGTCAAAATTGTTTGTTGTTTTATGACTTGTTGACTTGTTGTTTTATGATGTTTTTCAAGATGTCTAAGCTTAGAATTCAGTTATATTCCTTGGACACCAAGTAAAAGGTACCATTTGCTATCTTTTTCTGTACATCACTATTTTTTTTTAAATGTCACTTGTATTCCTTGGCTTCTAGGGTACTCATTTATAATCTACATTCTCAATGGGGACAAGGTTTGTTTCTACATACTAATAAAAAACAGAAATTCTTAATTTTTGTGTACGACAAGAGCATGTTTTTTATTTTCTGAAAGAGAACCTACCTATTTAAATTGTGATAAATTGTGTACGTATTCCGCAACTACACAGCATTACCTGTGGTTGTTGGATCCGAATTTTTACGCCGACTGGTAGCTCTCCCTTGGAAGGTCGTGGATGGCGAGTCGATGGTTAAGGGCATTCCCGGAATTTTGTCGCCGCACAGTGGTCTGAGAGGTAAATTTACGCGGAAAAAATTATTCTTTAAATATTTTTCCCAAGACGTGTGTTTTTTATGTTTTTAAGGGTGCTAAATTTACTTCTGATATAAATTTTTTCCAATAATATTTGGTATTGGGGACTAAGTATAGTCAAATGATATAAAATGAATTTTTTTAATATTTGTGTATTTTTTGTTTTTTTTTTCATGTTTTATATTTAATAATTTATTTATTAAATAAATAAATGTTTATAGTTCGTACCAGGGGGCGATCGCCAATGTTGGCGATTGCAACATGGCGCAAGCATAATTTTTTATCATGAAAAACCGAAAAACCATTACCTTCAAAGTATCAAAAATATATTATTATATCAACATTTTACATTTCACCATATTTCTTTTTAACAACCCTTTAGCCAATATCGTGATGGTTGACAATAGGAAAACTTATTATTTTTATTATGCGTTAAATACTCTTGCTTGTTTTAAAAATGAGATTCATATAGAACAATAATTGTACTACCCTCTTGAAGCACTTTGCTATTTTTTTATTTTCTGAGCACCCTGGATATTTAATTAAAAATGTTTGTTAGGAATCCCATTTTTAAAAACAAGCAGAAGTTTTTATGAATAATGATTTTTTGCGATTCCGTTACGAATATCTTACCACATTTCTCTCTTATTTTGATATATAATTTTTTTTTAAATTTCTGAGCACCCCGTATATATATATATATATATATATACGGGGTGCTCAGAAATTTAAAAAAAAATTATATATATATATATATATATGTATATATCATTCATCTTTTTATGAAAGTCTTAAGTTTTAACCATCAAATATTTTCAAAAAGAATTCATTTTTCCATAAAACGCACTTCTAGTTTTTTGGGTTTTTTTAGTTTCTGAGCACCCTGTACATTTAATTCAAAATGTTTGTGTAGAAATCTTATTTTTGAAACAAGCAAGAGTTTTTAAAAAACATGTTTTTTTTTCGTATCATACCTAATAAAAAAGTTTTTTTTTATTGTCAATACGATCCGTGGGCACACTGTATATATATAGTATATTAAAAAAATAATATTATGTAATAGGAGTAATAAAATTGTATTACCATTCTTAAATGCAATAATTATTGTCAAATTTAAAAAATATATTACTTTTATGACCAGGTTAGCGGTAACTTGTAGGCCATTTTTCATTTTTGCATAACTCTCTTATAGGCGCATAAAGGCAGATGAATTTTTATAAAGTCGGAGATGAAGGTTCATATTTTCGAATGCACTATGTGGTTCTGCGCAAGTATTTATAAATTTTTACTTACATTCCATTTATTATTTGTAATTACAAAACTTGAAAATTTGTAGGTTACGCTATATTTTTGACAAAAAATCCTAAAAAGACATTTTAAAGTTGTATTTGTACTTAACTTTATCCCTACTATAAATTTTGGACACTAATTTTCACTATTATATTTACGCAACACCTTTTTTACACGAAAAAGACAAGATTCCGAAAGTAAGAGTATTTTTGACAATTCTTTCATGTATTTGTTATAACGCAACGCATACGCAGTAAATTCTACTTCGCAGTTTAAAATCTTAGATAATAATCTGTCACGAACAATAAAGAGGCATCAAAATGCGTTTTTAAAGTGTTTTAAAAATTGTATTTTTGCCGCGTAAATTTGCCTCTCAGACCACTGTGCGCCGGGCCGACCATACGCCCAATTTAGGCTAGAGGAGAGCTGGACAAGGAGGGAAAATATATTGGTTTTAGGAGGACCTTGAACTGACCCAAAACTAAGTACAATCTGAAATCCTCCTCAACTAGGGCTTTAGTTATAACCCCATTCAATTGGGATTTATGAATGAGGGTAGGGTTCCCCCCTGTTCAGCGTTCCATGTCTGTAATGTGTGCGTAACGGTGGTTGGTCTTGGATTGCATCCTGGACTTACGGTCTAAATGTCTCTATGTTTGTCTTTGTATGTGTCCCCCGGCAGTTTCCGTCGTGTTTTTCTGACACTTTCGTTGACTATGTTATTTTGTATTGGTATAAAATTCGTGGTGCATTTCTCATTAGTCTTTGCGTGAACCTATTAATTGTTTCAGGTGGTCCTTAATTATACCCGCTGAGGGATCTAGTTACTTTTTATGTTTTGTTTTGCTTTATTGAGGTTGAAATTTCTTTATGGTTTTGTCGAGAGTTTGTTTGGGGAATATCTTAATGTCTATGTTTTTGTGGATTGACTTATGGGTTGATGTCTATAGACATCAACCCATAAGTCAATCCTAGCTATAGCTAGTCCCCAGTAAGCACCAAACACTCGGCCTTCGCTCGGCATTGGCGGTTGACCGGCGGTTCGGCTTGCCCC